TTTTTATTTTGACAAAAAAACATCACACGCGTTGTCAGTAATTTTAATTCATATGGGAATAGAATAGTTTGATGTACTTATTATGTACATGACAAGAAATTATTTCAGTTGACTGTTGTATGTCAATTTCGTCATTTCATCAAAATATATAATCCCAATAGGCACAAAAGGATGTTTTTGAATTGAGTGTAGGCCTACTAATGATTTAACATTCATATTATGTTATGTCTTTTGTAGCTAAGTTCTATTCTCATAGATTATGCTCATAACACTGTCAATATAATTATTACTTCTAATAAAAATATTAAAATGTATGTTAAGATGTTCCTCTAAAAAAACAATACAAATATTACTTAGTCTGGTAACAGTAAAAAATCATGACATTTTTAAAGAAATTTTTTATTAAGATACAGAGTAGTTTGAAATTAAAACATATTTTACCTAGTAACTGTTCTTAACAACAGTGAGTAGATACACTTCATAGTAATTACAAAGATGAAGAAAAGTAATGTATCCTGTTGTTTAAGATTGAATAAAAAAGTACGTTTTTACCCCACAATTAGAAATAGTTTTCTTTCTAGAGAATCTATGAAGTTTTTCTTTTTTTTTTTCGCTAAAAATTAATAATTCTTTTCTTTAAAATAAAAAAAGACTAAGTTATTTGCAGTAGAGTTGTATCCGCGACCTTTCAAGTCATTTTATTTGATAAAATAAGAATAATTAACAATGATGATAATGTAAGAATTATTTATAGTTATATGATCTTTTTTTAATATATTGAAAACAATCTTGCGGAAGCGTGGGTATATATTCTACATAATTAAGAAAAATTATTTGTTATTATTTAATTAAAATTAGTAACATTCTCAGAATTATTTATTCTTGTGACAAGATGTTTTTTCATACATTCTTTTAACCTTGGGGCTTTATCGTGGTCATTAATTCTAAATATACATAATCATCCTCATAATTATTTATTGATAGTCGATGACGTAGACAATCTTTTATTAAACTATATTTAAAATAGCTTGAGAAGAAAAATGTGTTTTTTTACTGACAAGCGTAAAGTTTATATTAAACATTCAAATAGAATTTTTTATATCCGTCTAGAATATCAGTCATAACAACAATATCTATGATTATTACATAAATCTAGAACTGACTTTTTTTTCTTTTATGATAATTCAATATTTATGATAGTCATGTATATTTTTGGTAATTCATTTTAAAATTAGTAGATCTTTTCATACTTTACCTGCTGAGTATCTTCATTACACATCTTATGTGTCTAATGGAAGCTTCCTCCTAATGAGTTAATTTATATAACTAAGTCAGCAGGTCTATATTATTCTAGTTGCATTAAAGAAAAAAAGAAAATATTTCACATTAACATTATAAACTATCACTTTCTTCTGTAGATAAATATGAATGATTCTGTAATATATTCACATGTAAATCTTACTCGATGGGTTTCATGTATATTATCTCCAATCATATTACTTGGATGTGCTCTTGGAAATATTATATCATTTATAGTTTTATTACGCCCACGTCTTCGTCGACAAACAACATCAATTTATTTAGCTGTTTTATGTGTTGCTGAAATAGGAACATGTTATACCGGTTTATTAAGACAATTTTTACTTGATGCATTTGATCTTGATATTCGTCGACTTAATTCATTTACATGTCGTACACATATTTTATTAACTTATGTATTTCTTCGTTTAGCACCATTATTATTAGCTCTTGTTACATTACAACGTTATCTTTATGTAAGTCAACGTGCTAAATGTTCATTAAAATCAACATGTATACAATTAACATGTCTATTTTTATTTGTCTGTTTTGCTGAAGGACATTTATTTACATTTTATGATTTAACTTATTCTGATACACGACAAAGAAGTGATTTTATTCCGTTGGAATGTACAGTTGATAAAGTACGTTATACAAGTTATTATTCATTTCGTAGTAAAATCTATCCAAAATTAACACTTTTTCTTTATACAATAATACCATTAGTTGTTATTATACTTGGAAATTTTTTATTAGTTCGAACAGTTCGACAAGCATCTAAACGATCACGTTCAACAACACGAAAAAAACGTTCAGTAACAAGAATGTTATATGCTGTTAGTGTACTTTATACAGTTTTAACATCTCCTGCATCGATATTTCTTGCTGTCGTACCAGCAAGTTATCAATTAGCACCAGGATTTCGTTTACAATGGACATTACTTCGTCTATTATTTTATTTATGTCATTCAGTGAATTTTTTATTATTTTGTGCTAGTGGAACATTTTTTCGACAAGAATTTGCTTCGTTTATAAATGCGAATTGTATATGTAAAATCGAATGGGCAAATACTCGTACTCAGATAGTTACTACAACTGGTATATCAAAATATGAAGATGAAACAATGCTTCAAAGTTTACGATATTTAGCACATAGTGATGTTAGTTCTTGTCGAAGTGAAATACGTACTCCAAAATTAAATGGAAAACCATCTCTTGACAGTCATCCGACTTCGTTATAAACAATTGAACACCTAATATTGTTATTGTTAATATTAGCTTTCTATTTTTATTTTCTATTTATTATAGATCACAGATAAAGGCACACAAAAAAATAAAATAAATAAAAAAAGCAAGAAAAAAAAAAAATACCCAGCAATAAAATTTATCGAATACCTAAATCAATAATATCTTCTGATAAAATTGTTTGTAAAGCACGTGTTAAATCTGCTTTCATTTCTTTCAATGATCCTGGCCGTCGATATTCATCTTGTGATATTTTCGTATTGGATAAATGTTGATGTCGAATTGTTCGTTTGAGATCATAAATAAGTTCATAACCACCATTTGAATGTCGATGTTGTGGATTAACATCAACAATACGTTGCATATCACGTTCAATTAATTCAGGATTTTTTTCATATAAATGTGCACCTATTTAACAAACATTTTTATGAAAAATAAAAATTCTCATGAGAAAATTCATTTACCCCAATGCATAGTTTGAACCATAAAATTTTTTCTTGCTATTTGTTGTTTAACATTTTTGGATAATAATGGCATTAAAACTTCGCCCATTTTTAAACAAATAAAAACAACATGCTAAAAAAGAAAGTTTTTCAGTTAAATCAAAATATAGAAGAAGAAGAAAAAAATTATTCTAACTTCAAATAGAATAAGAAAAGCAAGACGAGCAACCATAATAACATAATAATCATGATTTGTTTGATAGGGTCGAGAATCCCATGGTGGTGTACGATGATCTTTATAACTTTAAAAAAAACAATTTTAGGATAAAATCAAATCAATTTTTTTATATATAAAATCCTTACAAACAATAAATATCAGTTGTGTTAAATTTAGTTAATGATGTAGATGAAAGACGATTGATTTCATACGCTGATAATGTAAAATTAACATAATTAACTAATGTACGATTTTGACTTCGTGAATATTGATAAACAAGACGAGGTACAAAATCAGATGTTAATGCAATTAATAAACCCTAGAAAGTTTTTTTCAATATAAAAATAGAAAAGATAAATATATCTTCTTCTTCTTCTTACATTGGTTAGTATTGCTAATTTTGATATTGCAGCTATGATTAAACGCCAAATGCCTAAGATAAAATAATGAAGAATAAGGATTTTCTTTTGCTATTTTATTAATATACCGATATCAGCAACTTTTTTTGCAACAGGTCGACGTACATCAGATACGAATTTATGTGCATCAATTCGAATTTCGACAATATTATTGAGAAAAGCACAAAGTGGAGCAACTAAAACGAAATAATTTGATACTTCTGCGTCATTTATAAAAGAAAAAAAATTATATTTAGAATGTGATTGTAATTACATACTATCAATGAAATATAATATTATAATCAAGAAATTCAAAATTATTTATACTCTAGTTGAAAAGGAATTGATTAAGGTAGATATAAATATCAAAGTTCAAAAGATACTAATGAACTATGCCAAGTGCCAGGTTAAATAACTAGAATGGATTTTTAGATCAAACTAAAAAAGTTGATCTTTACATTTTGTCTTTTAATACGTTTGATTTATTCTAGAAAATATATATAAAGTAGCCATTAACTAACATCTCGTTAATCTAATGTTTCAGTTATTGATATATCTAAAGAAGATTTTCAAAACTACTGTCCCTTCCAAAAAAAAAAAGGCGGATGGGTATTCTTCGAATATTTTTTGATAAACACAAGATAGAGAGCTACGGTTTTCACCCTTAGAAAGAGCAGATGAAAATGCATCAAAACCTATATGGAAAGATTTCTCTAACTACTTCCAAAGGCTGTTATAGGAAAATCTTGGATAAACAGTATGTCTCGCATTAACGCCACATTAGTTCGTTTATTTTCGGGAGTGTTGTAGAATCGCCAGATCAAGAACTACAAAACTGTGTGAAGGTTTTCCTCATGACTACTACTAATTCAATCTTTCCCTGTCAAAAAAACACTTTGGTAATCCATTTTTCGAGCAAAAAATAGAAGTTTCTGTGATGTTTTGATGAAAAATCGTATTTTTTCGCGTGCGAGAAAAAGGCAGTTTTTTCAAAACACTTGACTAGTAGTTTTTGGGAAGTAGTTAGAGAAATCTTCCCAGATAGGCTTTGATGCATCTTCATCTGCTATTTCTAAGGGTGAAAACCGTAGCTCTCTATCTTGTGTTAATCGAAAAAGACTCGAAAAATACCCACCTGCCTTTTTTTTTGAAGTGGACAGTAGTTAGTTTAGATACGGAAATTCGTGTCTGATACATGAATTCATTCAGGATTCTCTACAGAATAATTCACATGGATTTTTCATACGTCTATTTTTAATATTTACTTATATTATTAAATTGAAAAAAAAAATGTTTGAATCAATTCATTTTAGTTCATCAATTTTGCTCTTAAATAACAGTACAGACGAATAACGATGGTTCCGAGTGATAAACTCATACATTAAAAACTTTTCCCATTAAGATAATTCATTAATAAATAATCAGAGAAAACTCATTTTCAAATGACAATTTGTCTTATCAAAAACTCACTACTCAATATTATTAAAAATAAAGATCAATCAGTCAACATTTACATAATATCCTGTAATAGCTTCTGTATTATCCTAGAAGTTTTTTATGAAATATTCTATGTAAAACTGCGCATGCAATAATATAAAATATATATTAAATTATATTTTATAATCTAAATTATATTTTTAATATTAAATATACAAATTGCAATATTTTATTAATTCATGAATATTATCTGGAGAATGTACGCTCGTAAACATGACATTATGATTTATTATGAAGAAGAAGATTAGTTCGTATCTGAAGGGCTGGAAAATGTTTTATTCACATTTCATTATTAAATTACTTACGCGGAAAAGCAACGAGAAACATAGTAACAAATCCATATTGAATAACTAAAAATATAAAATAATTAAGAGACGTTCCATGAAAAAACCGAACATTGCGAAAACACGTAGGTCAACGGATTCCGGATCTGACCTGATAGAAACTTAGGCACTATTGACCCATATATGAATCCAAAATATTACGGTCTAAAGATTTACTTTAAGAGAGTTAGGGTATGTCATACCATATTACCCTAAAAAATGACCTAAAAAATGAGCAAAATTGAGTTTTTTTGTTTTTTGAATTTTTTTCAAATAATTTCTCCTCTAATCAAATTGAGTCATATACCAATCGATAGAGCTTGACTTGCTCTACAAAACTGCTTATATGGCATTTTCCATTTATTTCAAAATATAAGAGAAAACGTCCAAATACACTATTTTTTTCATCTTAAAAAATCCATTAATTCTCGATATTTTGCCCAAAAGACCTAGTGAAATATCGATTGCCAAAAAAA